AAAAATAGGTCTAAATTGTGTTTTATACAGGACAAAGAAGAGGTTATTGTTATACTCCGAATTGTGCTTTATTTTGGATGGAAATGTTGCAACTTAATAAAAAAATAGGTCTAAATTGTGTTTTATACAGGACAAAGAAGAGGTTATTGTTATACTCCGAATGTGCTTTATTTTGGATGGAAATGTTGCAACTTAATAAAAAATAGGTCTAAATTGTGTTTTATACAGGACAAAGAAGAGGTTATTGTTATACTCCGAACTGTGCTTTATTTTGGATGGAAATGTTGCAACTTAATAAAAAAAATAGGTCTAAATTGTGTTTTATACAAGACAAGGAAGAGGTTATTGTTATACTCTGAAATGTGCTTTATTTTGGATGGAAATGTGTTTTGTACAGGATAAGGAAGAGGTTATTGTTATACTCCGAACTGTGCTTTATTTTGGATGGAAATGTGTTTTGTACAGAATAAGGAAGAGAAATGAAACTCTAAATTCATAAGAAAATTCCACAATATGTGTAAATTTAGGATGCTTTCACTGGTACATTTATGTTTTGTAGTGCTGCCTTGGATGTTCATATTGTTGATAATGGCTTCCCAGAAGATGATTTTGAGGTTGTCATTGGAATGCTGAAAATCAAGCTCGATAGAGTGGGACCGTATCCTTTTGTATATGTAGTTGCTCTGGGAATGAACAGTGCTAAAATTTCCTAGGTCATACACAGTAATTATTGAAAGAAAATAAATAATCAAATTGTTCACCGTAGACTTGCTAGTAAATGGACTTTACACCTAAACAATTAACCCTAAAATTATTAATTTGCTTTTATACCATTCACTACTATTGAGGTACATGTGTTGCATCATCTTTGAATAAAAAACTGACCCCAAAAAATTGTGTGAAATCACTCATTTTTTCTATGTAAGATTCATAAGAGATGTCAGTAGTAATTAGTGGGAAAAATTATAGTATTTTTGTGTTTTTTGGAACCTATGTCGTACAGACCATTATAATCAACAAATTGATGTACCCAAAAGCAATTTAGATTTAGTGCTTAAATAATTAAATAGAAGTTGTTTAAAAACACTGACTCTTATCAGTAATTTCAGGATTAAAAGGTATTTTTAAAATACAGACAGATATTGACTCTCAGTAAGTCCAAGGTTAAAATAAATAGATACTGTTATCAGTAATTCCAGGATTAATTCCTATCCCAGCAAAGTTGTATATACACTACTATATAACGTTTTTATGCTCTGTGTAATTTTGATTCTGAATCCTAAAAGTAAATATGTATGTGTTTTCCCATAGTCCAGTTTGTATTATAACAGTAATTTTATGATAAGTCAGTTTGAATCTTTCTTAATGAATGTTCTTCCAGTGGTAATAACGTAACTCACACGGTTGTCGTAAGACCAAGAAGTTATGGTTTTTACAACTTCACTGCAGCAGAAGTAACGTATCTTCCTTCTGAAGTTGCCCAGGATGTTCAGGTATGACACCCTACACACCTAATAAACAAATTTACTTAACTTTAAAACAGTATTCATTACTTCGTTAAATGATGGTTTAGGCAGTGTACACCCCACACACATATAATAAACAAACTTACTTAACTTTAAAACGGTTATTCATTACTTCGTTAAATGATGGTTTAGGCAGTGTACACCCTACACACCTAATAAACAAACTTACTTAACTTTAAAACATTGTTAATTACTCTTTAATTGATGGTTTAGGCAGTGTACACTCTACATACCTAATACACAAACCTACTTGTGTTAATTACTTCTTTAAATGATGGTTTAGGCAGTGTACACCCTACACACCTAATAAACAAACTTACTTAACTTTAAAACATTGTTAATTACTCTTTAAATGATAGTTTAGGCAGTGTACACTCTACACACCTAATACACAAACCTACTTAACTTTAAAACAGTGTTAATTACTTCTTTAAATGATGGTTTAGGCAGTGTACGCCCTAGACATCTTATACACAAATCTACTTATCTTTAGAACAGTATTCTTTACTTCTTTAAATGATGGTTTAGGCAGTGTACACCCTACACACCTAATACACAAACCTACTTAACTTTAAAACAGTGTTAATTACTCTTTAATTGATGGTTTAGGCAGTGTACACCCTACACACCTAATAAACAAACCTACTTAACTTTAAAACTATTCTTTACTTCTTTAAATGATGGTTTAGGCAGTGTACACCCTACACACCTAATACACAAACCTACTTAACATTAAAACTATTCTTTAAATGATGGTTTAGGCAGTGTACACCCTAGACACCTAATATACAAACCTACTTAACTTTAAAAAAGTGTTAATTACTCTTTAATTGATGGTTTAGGCAGTGTGCACCCTACATACCAAATACACAAACCCGCTTATCTTTAAAACAGTGTACATTTCTTGTTTAATTGATATATTTATAATGAAACAAAGGAGAAAATGGATGCTAACAGTCTTACTAAGTGGATCTCAATAAAGAGGCTTAGGTGATGATGTTTCAGAAGTCTTTTGGTTTCAGCTATCTACTCGAGGCACGATAGATGTTTTATGGTTTTTATATAGACTCTTGGCAGTAACTGAAAGTTTAGATCTATCGTACATATTATAGGTGTTGAGTGAGCCGTATATAGATATCTCTTATGTTGTGTGTCCTACATAAATTATGCCATTAATCCATTTATTTGCAAGTTTATAGACAATAAGAAGTCAATACATTTGTGAATTTTGCTAATTTTATTTCAATTCTACCCAAAATGTGTTGAAAATATTGTTCAGTGATCTTAAAAAAATGCTGACATTCTGTTTTGAACTAATTTTACACAAGTGTGATGTATGTATGCGTTGAAAATGAATATTTGTCAGTTTTATACCTAATTAAAGTTGTATCAAGTTTGAACTGTAACTTATCGAGCCATTTTCTTTTATAAAAATTATGTTAACCACCTTTTTAACCAATTTTGAAAAATATTACTTTACCTAATAATGTAAAAAAATCTATTAGATTTAATCTGTATAAATTGTATGGCAGGTTCATCAATATATTTTTCGTTCAGATTTATCTTTTAATTAGAAAAGAGTAAATATTGTTTATTTATGGCAAAGCTACAGTTTAGGATGTTTACTGTTGACCACATGAAAGATAACTAGCCAATAGCAGCACCTACTGCCAGCTCTTGGGCTAATCTTTACTAATGAATAGTGGGATTGACCATCACATTACAGTGATCACATGCATAAAAGGGTGAGCAAGTTTGGCCCAGATTTAGTTGCTGCAGGTTGTGATTAGTGCCCTAACCATCAAACCAATAAATACTGAGTGACAAGGTTTGGCTTGTAAAACTTGTTTCCTGTTCTATGTAAAACAAAATTTGTTGAACTAAATTACAGTCCCAATGAACCTGAAGTAATTCTGAAAGCTCATGATGCTAAAAATCAGGTTTTGATACCTGTATTGGACACTGCACAGATGGTTCATTGTGTAGCTTTGTGTTTGACAACAAAACACAAACTAAATTATAAAATAACATTGCATCATTTTGAGGTTTTATCTTCTGTAATATTTAATCAAAAATCCATTTAAAAAATGTAGAGTGAAAATAAATAAATAAATGAAAAGCAAATTTAAACAAATTAACACTAATATAAAGGAAATTGTCGTCAGTGCTGTTATGAACATTAATGTGTATCTTAAATGAAATTATTATACATATATTTATGTATGAAAGTACATTATGCTATATAACAATAAGTTGGCAAACAGTGATTATAACCATAACAAAGTGGTTTATTTTTAGGGGAACATGCTACATATTTTGACAGAACATTGGTCTGTCTTTTATCGAAACATTTAGTATGTTCGTCCCAAAATAAATCACTTTTTTTATGCTTATGATCATTGTTTGCCAACTTATTTTTATTATGCATATTTAAACTCAGAATTTGTGCAGTAGAGAATATGTTGATTGCAGGCTTATAGTTGAAATGTTTGCTTTGGGCCTTTCTGTCAAAAGAATATTCAAGCCTTTATTGTGTTCTGCAGTCAAACTGCTTTGTCACGAGTTAAGAATATGATTCTGTAACTTTCTCATTAAAATTTTAAAACAAAAGCAAGTATTTTTAATATTTTTGATAACAGTTTCTCACAATAAAATTGTGAACATTTCACAACAGAAAGAATGATATAAAACTAAGCAAATAACGTTAATTTTTGTGAGCTGGAACAATATGGTATTTAAAGAATAGGTGTAACCATAAGAAACATTATCCGTCGCATCTTCATCATTCATGTGCCAAGCTACCATCACCAACAGTACATACAGTATTCATAAATCATTATGTTTAGTAATTGAATAATGTCTGTAATACATAATAAAGTTAATTTGGTTTCTGTTGTTTTAATTATAAAGTAGTGAAGGCTTAAATCTTTGACTTAGACCTACATGACTCGTGTTCTGTATAAGACAGATGAAACTGCTGTAACTTCACTTGTACTTTTAAATATTTAGTAAATTGGTTTTAGGTTTTATGTAGTTTAGTTAAGTATATTCTGTTATCAGAAGGTAAAAAAAAAATCAAGGGTTATCAGTGGCACCCTCCCACTCTACAAACGGGTTAACATGGGTGCTACTTTATTGTTGCATCCATTTCCTGTACTTATGTTTCCCATAAGTGCAGAAAGAGTTTTATATTGCATCAAGTGACCACTGTATGTATTAATTACAACAAGAAATACAGTAGAAATCCTTGTTAGTAACTGAAGATAAGCTGGATGTTTTTAGAAGAATGGTTGATTTTAGATCTATGAATTGTGTAGTAATGTAAGTTAGTAATTGTAAATTATAGAACAACTAATGATGATAACATTATCATACTATTTTAAATGTGGGAAAGTAGCTGGTATGTAAAACCAAAATCTAGGGTGTAAAGATGTTGTTTGAAATGTTTGTTCTAGATTGGTTACACATCTGAGCCAGGTGAAGGAGGGATTGCTGCTATCCGTGAATTTGACAGGAAATTTTCTCCACATGTGGTGAGTGCTTTGATCAAAAATATTGTTTAGCCTGGTATATAGATCAATAGACCTCATAATAAAAGGATATATGAAGTTTTAGATTGTTGTTCAAATTTACCTTTTTTATTGATGTTGCTCAGAAATTATATATGGGAAAGATGAAAATGTGGTAAACTTCCCTTTCTTCCCTTGTAGTTTTGTGGTAAACTTCCCTTGTAGTTTTAAAATATTTCTTAAAGTGTTTGATTTTGATTAATGTCAGTATTGATCTTTTCAAACCATACACAATCAGTCTCTTGTTTACTAATAAATATATAACAAAACTAATACCAGTTTTGAGACTTTTGTTAGTACTTGGATTAAATTCTAATAAGTTCTGAGCTTTTGGTTGGTACTAAGTTGTGGTTAACTTCTAGTACATTCCAATTGTATGGTTAAATTCTAATACATTTTGAGGCTTTTGTTGTGTGCTAAATTGTAGTTAAATTTTAATACATTCTGACCCTTTGATGTTTGTATTAACTTGTGGTAATGTTAATTTTAAAGTAATATACTTGTAGACTTAAATACATAATCTTGAAACAAAACTTAATCTGACTTCTGTGGTTTTAACATTTTCTATGAGAAGATTGTAAATTCAGTAACATTTATTTTTGATTCTTCATTTTGTAGTTATGTAAGCAGTGAAATAGTAAATTCAGCTGTATCACAGTATCATGGTAGATGACTATTGTTGTGGCAGCTGTATCACAGTATCATGGCAGATAATTTTATTGTTGTCAGCTGTATCACAGTATCAGTGCATATGACTTATTGTATCACAGTATCATGGTAGATGACTATTGGTGTTATTGTTGTGTCAGCTGTATCACAGTATCGTGGCAGATAATTTAATTGTTGTCAGTTGTATCACAGTATCAGTGCATATGACTTATTGTATCACAGTATCATGGTAGATGACTATTGGTGTTATTGTTGTCAGCTGTATCACAGTATCAGTGCATGTGGCTTATTGTATCAGTTGTATCACAGTATCAATGCATATGACTTATTGTATCATAGTAGATGACTTTATTGGTGTTATTGTTGTTTCATCTGTATCATGGCAGATGACTGCTGGTGTTTTATTATAGTAAATGTAAACTGTATCACATTATTATGAGAGATTACTTTATTGTTGTGAGTTTCTTTGAGATTATAACAGTGATAACATTACTGTAGTAATATATTCAAGGAGTTAAAGAACAGCTTAGCTGCAAAGACCAGTGATTAAAAGTAGCATTAACTGAATTCTGTTCCATTTCAAATAACTTTATAATGATGCTAAGTTTACTTTATCTGCTTGGATGTGTTTTTTTTTTCACAATTGCTCATAGAAATTTGAAAAATTAAAAAAAATCCTTACATTTTCTAATCTTTTGATTTATATTTTATTGTTAGCAGCTGTTAAGTAAGAATATATAATTCACAGGAAGGCTTGGGATTCATGCTAACAACATATATTACAAAAGTATATATACTTGAAATTAAGTTTTTGTGACTTAATCAGTTTCAGTCTGAACCAGATCTTCAGTAAGAATAGTATTATGAATTTTTCTTCTGAACCAATTCAAAACTTGGGTTCTAAATGTGGCTTTATCATTTCAGATGGACTGGATAGCTTTTGCTGTGATGACTCTCCCGTCGTTAGGCATTCCTTTGCTTTTGTGGTATGGTAGCAAGTCGAAATATGAGGCCATAATTAAACAAAGCAAGAAACATTAATCATTCCAATTCCAAACACACAAGCTCATGTATTAAATCTTTTTATGTTAAGTGCTGAGAGTAATTGTAAAGCATGAAATAAAAGGGAATGTTTACACTGGAGATAATCCATGTTGTATTTTTTAAAAATGTCATAGATATAGTTAGCAAGTAATGTAGAGGGGAAAGTATTTTAAGCCTGCATGCCAATTTACTAGGCAGGTTGTTGATTCGAACAATTTCCATCAATTTCTGCACTTGCTAGACTATCTTTGTAATTTCAGCATGCTAACAAGACTGTACTGACCTCTCTAGTGGTCAGTTGGAATCAGAACTGGACACTGGGAACAGCCCTAAACAAATTGAATATAAAACAAACTCACAAATCAGTTAGTGTGACTCTTCTTTCTACTGTATAAAATATACACACAAAGAAGTTGAACTTTTAATTTAAATGTTTGTTTTCTAAGTTACTTTTATTCTGAAACAAGTACACTGATTATGAAATTAGGTTATCAGGTTAAGGAAAAATTCAATTACTATATTTGAAGGTATACATTCTACATTACAGGTAAATGTTTGTACATTATTCCTACTGTTTTTATTCCAAGGAGACATTGATACAATCATTTTCAAAATGATAAAATTTAACATATTACAGTATTTATAAAGATTCTTTGGAAGAAGAAAAGGTTTAATATCTTTCATTGTTATGTTTTCCATAAATGATACAAAATTTGTTCTTTTTAAAAATTAATTTCACAACCTAATGAAGTGGCTTATAACTAGTTTAAAAAATTATCCATGGCCTCTAGCGTTCTTGATAAAAGAAAATCTTTCTTAATACTTTTAGATATATATATATATATATATATATATATATATAT